CCTGGGTGTGGGGCCTGGGGGCACCGCAGGCCGTCCCCGCCTCCCACCCCTCCCGGCCTGTCCGTGTGTCTGTCTGTGTGTCAGCGTGTCCTTGTGCGTGTCCATGTGTCCACGTGTGTGTGTGTCCGTGTGTCCCTGTGTCCGTGTGTCGGCATGTCCGTGTGTCCATGTAACCTGTGTTCTTCTCTGTGTGCATGTGTCAGTGTCCGTGTCTCTGTCCATGTGTGTGTCTGTGTGTGTGTTGGCATGTCCGTGTGTCCGCGTGCGTGTCCGTGTGTCCCTGTGTCAGTGTGTCCGTGTGTTGGCATGTCCATGTGTCCGTGTGCATGTCCGTGTGTGTGTGTCAGCATGCCCGTGATCAGTGTGTCCATGTGTCCATGTGCATGTCTGTGTGTGTCAGCGTGTCCGTGTGTCTGTGTGCGTGTCCGTGTGTCCCTGTGTCAGTGTGTCCGTGTGTTGGCATGTCCATGTGTCCGTGTGCATGTCCGTGTGTGTGTGTCAGCATGCCCGTGATCAGTGTGTCCATGTGTCCATGTGCATGTCTGTGTGTGTCAGCGTGTCCGTGTGTCTGTGTGCGTGTCCGTGTGTCCCTGTGTCAGTGTGTCCGTGTGTTGGCATGTCCATGTGTCCGTGTGCATGTCCGTGTGTGTGTGTCAGCATGCCCGTGATCAGTGTGTCCATGTGTCCATGTGCATGTCTGTGTGTGTCAGCGTGTCCGTGTGTCTGTGTGCGTGTCCGTGTGTCCCTGTGTCAGTGTGTCCGTGTGTTGGCATGTCCATGTGTCCGTGTGCATGTCCGTGTGTGTGTGTCAGCATGCCCGTGATCAGTGTGTCCATGTGTCCATGTGCATGTCTGTGTGTGTCAGCGTGTCCGTGTGTCTGTGTGCGTGTCCGTGTGTCCCTGTGTCAGTGTGTCCGTGTGTTGGCATGTCCATGTGTCCGTGTGCATGTCCGTGTGTGTGTGTCAGCATGCCCGTGATCAGTGTGTCCATGTGTCCATGTGCATGTCTGTGTGTGTCAGCGTGTCCGTGTGTCTGTGTGCGTGTCCGTGTGTCCCTGTGTCAGTGTGTCCGTGTGTTGGCATGTCCATGTGTCCGTGTGCATGTCCGTGTGTGTGTGTCAGCATGCCCGTGATCAGTGTGTCCATGTGTCCATGTGCATGTCTGTGTGTGTCAGCGTGTCCGTGTGTCTGTGTGCGTGTCCGTGTGTCCCTGTGTCAGTGTGTCCGTGTGTTGGCATGTCCATGTGTCCGTGTGCATGTCCGTGTGTGTGTGTCAGCATGCCCGTGATCAGTGTGTCCATGTGTCCATGTGCATGTCTGTGTGTGTCAGCGTGTCCGTGTGTCTGTGTGCGTGTCCGTGTGTCCCTGTGTCAGTGTGTCCGTGTGTTGGCATGTCCATGTGTCCGTGTGCATGTCCGTGTGTGTGTGTCAGCATGCCCGTGATCAGTGTGTCCATGTGTCCATGTGCATGTCTGTGTGTGTCAGCGTGTCCGTGTGTCTGTGTGCGTGTCCGTGTGTCCCTGTGTCAGTGTGTCCGTGTGTTGGCATGTCCATGTGTCCGTGTGCATGTCCGTGTGTGTGTGTCAGCATGCCCGTGATCAGTGTGTCCATGTGTCCATGTGCATGTCTGTGTGTGTCAGCGTGTCCGTGTGTCTGTGTGCGTGTCCGTGTGTCCCTGTGTCAGTGTGTCCGTGTGTTGGCATGTCCATGTGTCCGTGTGCATGTCCGTGTGTGTGTGTCAGCATGCCCGTGATCAGTGTGTCCATGTGTCCATGTGCATGTCTGTGTGTGTCAGCGTGTCCGTGTGTCTGTGTGCGTGTCCGTGTGTCCCTGTGTCAGTGTGTCCGTGTGTTGGCATGTCCATGTGTCCGTGTGCATGTCCGTGTGTGTGTGTCAGCATGCCCGTGATCAGTGTGTCCATGTGTCCATGTGCATGTCTGTGTGTGTCAGCGTGTCCGTGTGTCTGTGTGCGTGTCCGTGTGTCCCTGTGTCAGTGTGTCCGTGTGTTGGCATGTCCATGTGTCCGTGTGCATGTCCGTGTGTGTGTGTCAGCATGCCCGTGATCAGTGTGTCCATGTGTCCATGTGCATGTCTGTGTGTGTCAGCGTGTCCGTGTGTCTGTGTGCGTGTCCGTGTGTCCCTGTGTCAGTGTGTCCGTGTGTTGGCATGTCCATGTGTCCGTGTGCATGTCCGTGTGTGTGTGTCAGCATGCCCGTGATCAGTGTGTCCATGTGTCCATGTGCATGTCTGTGTGTGTCAGCGTGTCCGTGTGTCTGTGTGCGTGTCCGTGTGTCCCTGTGTCAGTGTGTCCGTGTGTTGGCATGTCCATGTGTCCGTGTGCATGTCCGTGTGTGTGTGTCAGCATGCCCGTGATCAGTGTGTCCATGTGTCCATGTGCATGTCTGTGTGTGTCAGCGTGTCCGTGTGTCTGTGTGCGTGTCCGTGTGTCCCTGTGTCAGTGTGTCCGTGTGTTGGCATGTCCATGTGTCCGTGTGCATGTCCGTGTGTGTGTGTCAGCATGCCCGTGATCAGTGTGTCCATGTGTCCATGTGCATGTCTGTGTGTGTCAGCGTGTCCGTGTGTCTGTGTGCGTGTCCGTGTGTCCCTGTGTCAGTGTGTCCGTGTGTTGGCATGTCCATGTGTCCGTGTGCATGTCCGTGTGTGTGTGTCAGCATGCCCGTGATCAGTGTGTCCATGTGTCCATGTGCATGTCTGTGTGTGTCAGCGTGTCCGTGTGTCTGTGTGCGTGTCCGTGTGTCCCTGTGTCAGTGTGTCCGTGTGTTGGCATGTCCATGTGTCCGTGTGCATGTCCGTGTGTGTGTGTCAGCATGCCCGTGATCAGTGTGTCCATGTGTCCATGTGCATGTCTGTGTGTGTCAGCGTGTCCGTGTGTCTGTGTGCGTGTCCGTGTGTCCCTGTGTCAGTGTGTCCGTGTGTTGGCATGTCCATGTGTCCGTGTGCATGTCCGTGTGTGTGTGTCAGCATGCCCGTGATCAGTGTGTCCATGTGTCCATGTGCATGTCTGTGTGTGTCAGCGTGTCCGTGTGTCTGTGTGCGTGTCCGTGTGTCCCTGTGTCAGTGTGTCCGTGTGTTGGCATGTCCATGTGTCCGTGTGCATGTCCGTGTGTGTGTGTCAGCATGCCCGTGATCAGTGTGTCCATGTGTCCATGTGCATGTCTGTGTGTGTCAGGCGCCCAGTCCCTTCCCCAGCGGGAGGAGTGGCGGCGTGGGGGAAGGGAGCGGAGGACAGCAGGACCCTTTTGTAAGATGTTTCCTTACGAGCTCCACGACCTGCGCGAGGGAGCCGCTCCGTTCCAGACCACTCCTGGAGAGGTCCCAGCACCGGTCACAGAGTCTCACAGCTGAAGGTCCCCGGGCTCCTCCTCTTCTCCCCCAGCACGCAGTGGCCCAGGAAGGGACTCCCCGCCCGCCCAAGAGATTTCAGGGCCATTTACTGCGGACCAGGGGTGCTTTGGGGAGCAGCGGTGGCACCCAGGGACACAGCCGCGCCTTCCCGCTCCCCCTCTCTCCGCAGCGGGCCACGCTGCAATTCTTCAAGAGATGGAAGAAAATAAAAACAGGAAAGGAGAGGGAAAGCTGCCTAAATCAACCCCAAGCATTGACCAAACAAATGCAGGGACTGGTTGCAAGTCCTGCGTGAAGAGCGAGCAGCAGACGCGTCGCGAGGAGGTCAGACGCGGCCTCAAACACTCAGTGACAGAGGCAAAATGCTACATTTCCACGGGCAGCCTAGGGCAGCTGGGCCCAGGCGTAGCAGCGG